GTAACATGCAGTCTATGAATATTGTGTGTCAGCATGACCTATTACTTCATAGAATAGAAAGCCTTATGTGAAAATCATATGAAAGCTTCATAAAAAAACACCAATTTTTTCAAAGACTTAACTTTCCACAGCTCAGAATCAGTTATTATTTTCAAGAAACAGAATAACTTCCTGTCAAAGATTTTTTGCAATATTTCATCACATGTCTACAAATGATATCCAGAATGCCCTTCAGTAAACTATTGGTAAAGGTTTTATAATAGAAATATAATTCGATTTATGAGCAAAAGCACACACATTATATATATATATGTAAAATAAGTAAGTAAATAAGTAAAACTAAGAAAGTAAAACAAAAAAGAAAAAAATAATGCACAACAAATTAACCTAGTGAAACCAATACTAAAATTAAATTATAGATTTAAAACTTTCATTAAAATTTAGGTCTTTAGGAGAGATTTCCAAAGTTATACATTTATAGTCTTCTGTGTAATGGATATGGGCAGTAAGTTCCAAAGTTGTGGTGTCGCACACAAAAAAAGCTCTATTGTCTGTTGTGTTCTGCCTGGTCTTTGGCAGAGTAAGAAGGCCTGAATCATTAGATCTCACATTAGTTTTCTACCTAAGTATCCTCCTTGTCAGATTAATTATGGATTAGTAGTTATCATATTTTATCTTCTTCCTCCAGGGCATGATAATTCACTTACTGTAGATGCTTATACTGTAGTTCAGACTTTCCAGATTTAGAGACCCAGAAGCTAATTTACCAGTCTGCCATGCACTGGCTCAGATATTCATGTATATTTTGTTTCAGTTTGCTACAAAAGCTGTCTTCAACTTTCAAATTGAGATGGAAATGCCTGCTCCATTAGTAAACCATATATTTAACCAATTGTCCAAATGGCATCTGTATTTCAGCATTAGATAGGCAGAGTAAAGGGTTTAACTGAGTAAAGTAAAAAATGGGAAAACTAGCAGTGAAACTAGTCTATGATGGTGGTTATTGTGAATATTAAATAGTAAAGCTCCCACCACAGAATTCTGTAGAACTCTATGAGTAAGGGAGAAAAAAACAAAAGATTCAAAACAGACAAGATTTACGAGAAAAGGCAAAGTGGGAAAACAGTGGTAGCTAATTGCCTGAGTGACAAGATCAAATTTTTGTCTAGGTCCAACAGATCACAGCAATGAGACCGCCATTCAGATCTATCCTCTCCAAAGCAGAGGCTTGCTAGAGACACCAATCAGAAGGAATAGACAAAAAAGATCCCAGGCTCATGAACCACTTAAGAGATTTTAGGAGGCAACACCAAGAAATACCAAGCTAGAAAAACTATGCTTTCAATAATAGTAGAAAAAGCAAACAAAAATTGACAAAAACAGTATCAAAAGAGTGAATAAGTAAACCAAAAATGTAGTGAAGACATGACACCAAACTTTGAATGGAGGCACAAGACAATGGTCAGATTGCATTAGTGAACATTTTTACGACTTACAACTAATATTACTATTCACAGAACTTAATATATATCCAGCACCCTATCCCAGACATAAATCTCACCGTACAGTATACGACAAGCTTTTTTAACACAAACCATAAATCACATCAAAATGTGAATTTAAGATAATCTATATTTAAGGAAAATCTTAAAATATACACATACTATAAATACATTCCTGATTGATGGGATTACTAGTTTTAACCCTTATATAGGTATGTCAAGACTATATCCTCTTCCAGATACAACACTAATCCAAACCTTAAGCCATACTGAAACATGCAGTATAGTCCAATATGACACAGATGAAAACTGTTACAATTAATATAATAATAAATTTTATTTAATATAACACCTTTGAAGGTGGCTTCTCAAAGCACTTAACAGAATGACAAAAATAATAAAAAATACACAACATCTGCATAATGAGAATACACAGTGAGAAGAGACAGTAGATGGGAGTACAAAATATAGTAGGAGCAGAGGAGTAAAGAACAGAACCAGTTAAATAAAGGCTCTTCTAAAGAAGAAGGTTTTGAGTCTAGATTTGAAGGAGTTTAGAGAAGGTGACTCTCTGAAATCTGTGGGGATAGAGTTATACAGCTTTGGGGCATAACAGAAGGCCTTACCACCCATAGAGTGTAGACGGGCTTGGAGGACAGATAGGAGACCAGAATTAAAAGAGTGAAGGTTGCGAGGTGGGGAGTAGGACGATAGGAGCTCAGACAGGTACTGGGGTGTCAAGCCATGCAGAGCCTTATAGATGAGCGTGAGGATTTTGAAGTAGTAAACTTCAGGACAGGAGCAATGTGATGAAAGTAAAGTAGAGCATTACAGTAGTCAATTCGAGAGAAGACAAATGTGTTGATCAGCTTTTCAGCAACAGATAGCGATAACATAGGATGTACTCTAGTGATAATGCTAAAGTGAGATGAAGATGTTTTGACAATATGTTGCACATGTGGGTTGAATGTCAAGCCTGAATCAGATATCACCCACAAGTTTTTCACTTTAGACTTGTTACCATCTTAATCCCTCCTCTTAAGGACGTTCTGGCACTTTCTCATTTTTGATGATGTCATGCACCTGCCTCCAATCCTTATTTAAGCTGGGCACTCTTGCTACTCTGGGCTCTGCATCGGAAGACAGAGCCCTGCCTACCATCAAGTCGCCCTACATCCGCGGCTTGAGGGCATAGGCCTTCTACCGTGGTTAAACGCCTGGCCTCGTTATCCCGTTTTTATTCACCATCCCTCTACCGGATCCCGTTCTGGTTTTAAACTCTGTTTTGTCACATCTCGGCTTGATCACCCCATTTGGACTTTGGGACTTCGCCCCGGATTTCCCCCCTAGAATCCTTGGACTTGTTTGCCCTGGATACGCCCCCCGAGCCCCAGTTCACCATCATCACACCCCCCTGTCTGTCAACCCCTCCTGATCCTCGTCGTCTCCTCCCTGACTTCCTTTTCCACTTACTTCCAGATAATACCGTCTGCATAGGGTCCAGAACTACGCTTCGTGACAAGAATGAAGTAACAATTTACTGAAATAAAACGTGCCCCTAATTTTACTGAATGTCAAAGTTTAACTGAAATTCTGACTGTAGTCCTACTCTGTATATGAACCTTACCCTACTGTTTAAGTAGGAGGCTTTAAACAATATTCAGTAAAGCATTAATATCCAAGCCCTGTACTGGTAAAAGCAAAATCAAGTTTTTATGGATACATATCTGTGAAAAATATTGTTTTGTTTTTATGAATAAGGTTATAAATTAGTTTTACTAGACAAAAGTACAATGCTTATTTTTATATATATGTAATATATGATCACAATTACATAATATATTGACTATCACAATATTATATAGCAAAGTTTCAAATGATTTTCTCAGTCAAAACTATTCTTTACGCACAGTTTCTCATTTTTAACATACATTTTCTAGTGTACACATAAATAATTCTTTTTTGACTTTGCTTTTCAATTTTGCTACAGCTTTCTTACCCATTTTTTCAATGTATTCCATACATCTAAATTTTTGTTCTAACATGCATGGTTTCTTTTATTGAAAATCTTGTTTTTGATTCACAAGGGGTTTATGTTTTTACTTTAAACTCCTCCATTTTATTATTTATTACCTCTACAAATCTTCTAATAACAAATCTTCTCTTTTTGTTAAAGAGCATAACAAAAGTTATTATTATGCTCTATACTTGTTAGTATAAAACAGTTTCATTGAAAAATATTGTTTTGTTTATTTCTATCATTCACCAAGCCCAAAACACACAATCTACCAACAGTTACAAGTTTTAACTTTAAGGTATTTTACCTGAAACAATCAAAAGAATTAACTATGTCGTAAAATGGAAATAGTAAGATGTAACTAGTTGATTGGTTTGGTACCAACTTACCCTTTAAATAAATCCATTTTTAAACAGTGTGTTTTAAAACCATTTGTGAATCTAGTTATACATTATAAAGCTTTAATGAGGTAAAGTTAGGTTTAAAACAATGGTCATTTATTTGATTGTTTTGATCATCTGATTAAAACAAATTATTCACAGTGATATTAAAGTTTGTCTTTCTATATAAGGTTTGATTTTGATACTTTGATATTTAATTTTAATCTATGAATCTGGGTCTGTAGCTACCAGATTTCTGAAGGTCAGTGTTATTTGTTAATATAACATATGTCAGTGCTATAATTATTTAAATATTTTGACATTTATTATATACAGTATGAGCTGTTATTTGAGAATATTTGTGAAAAGATACTATTAACATTCATCATATACTAATTAACTATCAATTAATGGTATACCAAATACTGTTAAAATAAGTTACTGTTAAACCAAATACTGTTAAACTCAATTGTTCCCAAGAGTAAATGGGAATTCAAGAATAGTTCTTGAATTTTTTACTGTCATGTGAATGAATTGTAATTAGTTAAATTTTGGAGTGTCATTTTCAAAGTAATGTGATGGTTTAATAAAGGTTATTTCACTGTATTTTCATTTGTAGTATTAATATTAATAACTGAGTACCCGTGAGGAAATTATTCAAATAAATGTAACCAAAGAAGGACATACCAGAGCTGCTGATCTATAAAAGTACTGATATAATGCTTTTAATAACATAGAGGAAACAACAATAAGGTTGTCAATCTAATTGGTCGGGTGCAAAAGGTAAAAAAAACAAACTAGTATGACTGTTAATGAGCTATAGAAATGAGAATTCATATATTTGCTTCTTCCTGTGAGCAGATTACTTTAAAAACAAATACCAAAATGTACTTTGGTTGAAAACCATTTGCACCTTGGCACCAATGGGAGGGAATGTGTTGCCTTTATTTTACCCTGATAGTTTGAAACAAAATCTAAAATGCACATTAGGGCAATGTGTATTTTAATCAATAAAGGCAGCCCTTTCCTGTGAAATTAGAAGAATTTAATTTAGCAATAATCTTTATCAAAAGAATGAAACAACATCTGGTGTTAACTCACCTACAGTGTCACATGGCTCATCTTTGTGCACGCAGAAATCTTTCCTGAAATATGAAGACAAACTTAAGCAGTCCCAAAACAAAACTGCAATGATTATCTGACCCATTTACACATAATTTGTATGGCTCAGTGAACAACTACAAGGCTTCTTTATCTCCTTCAGTGGCACTGCACAGAAAGTGTATGGGATTAGCAAGGATGTTGTAACATTCATCTAGCCATAAAACTGATTTAAGGTTAATTGGGAGACAAAGTGCATTAAACACTAACATTTAAGGGTCAATGCTAAAGGCAGTGAACTTAATAAACAACAACCAATTGGAGTTCTGCTACAGTTCTCAGATGACATTAACCAGTGTACATGCCTTAAGTCACAGCAGAGGGGCAAATCAGAAAGCCACAATCAGGAAGTTCTTTCAGCAGCAATTTTTCTTATTGGCTTTGTGTTGATGTCAAGGGTCACATGCTGGTAAGACTGGGATCTAGCACAATATCTCCTCAATTCTCAATGTTCCCTGGATACATTTTTACAACCTTTTCACGTACATTTCATTTTTCTTTCCCCACAATATTAGAAATATAGAGTAAAGCGTGAAATGTCCCATTGAACAAAAAACAAAGTCTATTGGTTTTAAAATCAATATCAACATGTATCAGTACATTTCTTGGTCATAAGGGACAAAAGCTGTTAATAAGCTCAAGGAAATCATGTATCATGTAGCATTTTGGATGATAATAACATTGCGTCAAGAATTTCAGACATTTGAAATTCATAATTAACACATGGGCACCAAGAGCCACCATGAATTACTACTAAAAAGGTAATTAGGAAAGTATTTAAGAAAGTAAACATAATAGTAGAAACACCAAATGGGACCAAATCAAGCTGTTGCAGCATAAATCTTAATATTTGACGAAAGTGCTTTCTCACTCCTGCTCGATGCCAGCAGACCATTCCACAAAACCTCTCAAATATTTAATTTCTATTAAAATCTAAGGAACAGAGGTATCTACTGCACAACCGGATATAGGGTGATTTGATTTATTTCTCAAACTGGTTCCTTTGCCAATAGTTTCTGAGCATGCAAATAGCCATTATTGATGCCAATAGTTGTCACAGAAAATCATGAACATGATGGTGGAAAACATGGAGCTGTTAGCAGGCATGGAGACTTGACTGATTTGTTTATATTACTGCAAAGTCTATCGCGGGACACTAGAATGTTTTTGTTTAGACTACAAAAACTAATTTGATGTTGATGTTTAACACAACCCTCAAGGTATTTTTGCCAAGATATGTTTAAGCAGTTCCAAAATAATAATCCTTTTATTCAACCAGATCAGTCAGTAGACAGCAATGTTTCATGCCCATATAAGCAAAGCAGGTTAGGTCAAATTAAGTAGTCACTCTAATCTAACACATCTTAAATAGGTAATCAGTTCCTAAAAAAGATACACATCACAACAACAAAAAAAGCTGCAAACATATTAATATCAGAACTACTACAACTATTTAAAAGAATACACAAAGCATGTCAGCACAGAACTAACAGCAAAACAAATGTATTTTCTATAACATTTTCAAGATGCACAACTTGCACATTGTAGTGGGTAGCAAGCTAGAATGAGAATAAACAACTGCTCTATCCTTTGAATGTGACACCCATCCATCACAAGGCCATGGATAAATGGGATCATTTAGTATAACCAACTAAAACAAACCTGCATATCTTTGTGTGATCATAGGAAACCAAATCATTCAATGACAACCGATAGTGAATGCCCTCAGCAAAATAAAGTCAAAACTGTTATTTTTTCTTTAAAGTTTTTTTGATCATGACATTTCAATGATAAAGTATATTATAATATATCTTTTATCTTTTGGTAAATCAATGCATACATTGTATCATAATAAAATGGAAGCATACTGTATTTTGTGTTCAACATAGGGATTTCAAGTGTTTTAGTTTAAGTATATTTCAGAGCATAAAAGTCAGAGCTTGACTAGCTTGCATAAGTCAAGCAAAGCTTGACTTCTCCTTTGAGGCAATAACTGCATGCTACTCAAGCATGCAACCCAATCAACTCACTACACTATTTGTGTAATCATTTGAGATGTTTTGCTGAAGCCACTTTGAGTTCTTGCTCTTTCTTGGGATGTTCTGACATCATTTCTTAATAAGCAATTATGTAATTAATGTACTGTATTTACTCAATACTCAATTGGATAGAAATTCTGAGTTTGACTTGATGATCTGGAGATATTCAGATTAACTTCTTGATTGCATTGGCTCTATGTTTTGGATCATTGTAATGTATGATGAAGCACCATCCAATAAACATTTTCTTGTATATAAGCAGACAAAATGTTATGCTACAGTGTATGTAGACTTCAGAATTCCTTTTATTTTTGCTAGTGCTACATTGTTAATAAAAATGATTGAGCCAGTTCCAGTGGCAGCTGTGGATGCCAATTTGTCATTTCAATAGTTAGGACAAAGTCTGTTTAATGAGATGGGGTGACAAAATGTATAGGTACAGCACAGCACATTAAAAGTGTGTTTGCTGTAACTCGGCTGAATGATAAAATAGCAGCCTAATCATAAGGTTGAGGCTGACAGGACCACCATCCCCCTGCTTCATAGGGAATGAGCCAGGAAGTCGCTCTAAGGGTGAAGATGGGTAGGAGGGAGGTGTGTGAGAAAGATGAACAAAATGGTGCTTAGCCAAAATATTTATGTACAACAGCTGGCACAATTAAAATGTACATATTTCTATTTCTATTTTAAAAACGTCATTTGGCGGGGCACTACATGCAAATATTTTTAGTCTCCTCATGCCATCCTCACCCATTTTCAGAGCAATGGTTCGGCCGAAGGGAGTGCATGCATTCCAGTCTCCCTGGAATAACAACAACTTGTTTTGTGATAGTTTCGTACATTGTAAGAAATTTTCAGTGCTCTGCTACTGTGTTGTATTGTATTGTATAGCCTTCTCTTAATTTCTTCTTCCTTTTCCTTCAGTACTGAATAGGTGCTACTGATGGTATTTTAGGTGTTGATGTTTTAACAGTAATGAACAATTATTTTAGATATAATTTTTGTGACAGTTTAACTAGTTTATAATTTTTTATTAATCTTTTGTATTTAATTAATATATTGGGTATATATTTCAAATATATAGGGTATATATTACAAAAACCTGCATACAAATGGAAACAAATTCAATACTATTCCTAAAATATACCTCTGATATGTTGTAGGTTGTGTTCATTAGGCCATCTTAATCATAACATTTACCCTGTACTTGTCACAGTACCTGACTAGTAAAAAACCCTGATACAAAAGAGTCTCACCTGATACCAAAATATGTACACATAATGGTGCTTAGTGATACCATTATGTATATATATAGGTATGAAGTGAAACCCATTTGTTCAGTTTTTTCAAACCCTTGATATTTATTTATGAATAACAATCATAGCTCTGATTACCATGAGATCTGATTAGGTCACTTATCAATAGTAATAAAGAATGCCTTAATATATTGTCATGAATTAACGAATAACATTTTAATATTTTTTAATATTTTTTTTTACTCTTAATTATAATGAATATAATCAACACCATAGCCAGCAAGTGCTTCCCCATACCTTGTGATAAGTATAGCAGTATCAACAGATGGTAGGTCATCCCTCCATCTTGTAGAAAAATCGACATGGATGTTCTTCCTACCAAACTCTTCCTGTTGCCACTTACAGAAGCTCTCCAGCATCTTTTCCCCATGATGGCCAATGTACATGTCTGTCTGTGAAAAAAAGTGTGGATTAAAATCATACACAAATGATTTGAAAAGGTTAGGGAAACAGCAAATATACTGTATAGCTGATGTTTTTACAAATTTAGAATTCAATTTTCCTGTTTTTTTGTGATACACACATAACATTTCGAATAGCCAGTTGCTTATTTTTCACGTGTCAGCTCATATCTATAAACCCCACAACCAGACTAAGCCGAAAATGAGGCAGTTATACAGTATTGTGTTATACAGTTATACAGTATTATACTAATGGTGTTATACAATACTGTATAACTGCCTCATTTCGTATAACTACTGTATAACTTACTGTATAACTACCTCATAATACAGTTATACAGTATTATACAGTACACAGACACTTTGATTGACAATGGGTATTTAAGGAGGCTGGAGACAGAACCAACTGATTCAATGTCATTAGTCACCACAAGCAAGATCAGAATTCTCAGAATATTTAAACATGTCAAGGCAAAAGGTTTTCAACCTCTTAAATTTATTTCAATTTCAATTATAGCATCAGAAGAAGTGTAATTTAAAGAAGTGTCTTCTCTATATTATCAAAGCTGATGAAACATCAACAAAGTAATGATTGCTGGGGTGTGACCAATTTTAAACTGTGTATCTGTAAAAAGAAAATGCAATTTCAGTGGGCAGATTTGTTTTTGTTGTATCTGTAATGTAAAATTTCATTATATCTACAAATATGGTTTCTTCCAATACAGTCATTATTTTTTAGTATTAGTAAATGCCAGTACATTATAATTAAATTGATTTTTAGAGACCAGACTTAATATTTGTCATATAATATAATACACAAATCGTTTCACCATATCATAATCCATTCTTTGTCAGCTTTTGACCACTATATACGGCATTATATGTGTTAAAGCCATTATTAAATGTTTCCTGTGTTCCTAAGAGGCAAAATAAATATTTAAAAATACAGTACTTACCGGTGTTTCCTGAAGTAGCACAAGCTTGGTCAATCGAATGTTAATTTGGATGCCAAGGCTCTTATGTTGAAATAGGTTAAAAACCTAGAAATAAACATATTTAAAGCTCAGTATTTTGTTCTCATAGTTATTTAATTTAATCCAAATTTTCATAAAAAATATACACCTTCAAAAACAAAAACCCAAAGCATTTTAGCCAGACATCTCTACCATTTCTGTTTACAACCTTAAAGAACCCTAAATATCTGTTCTTTATTTTCTTTTTGCAGCTTATATTTAATACTCATTCAAGTTTCAACTTTTACTTCTTTTGACTTAATAAATATAAGACTCCTGCCACATTTGCTTAATGACACAAGAACTAGTACATTACTATGATGATACAGTATATGCAATATGGTTTTCTAAACCATAGACCTTAGGGATTACTACTGTATGTCTTCTGAATTTTGCTCTAGTTTAGTTCTTAATTACAGGCCAATTGATTTCAATTTCATGGTTGGGGCAAATTTTAAATTAGCCTTTAGTGCCCTGTACATTTTTAATGCAAATTGCGATTAGTATCAACCCTGTGCCAGATTCTGAGTTTCAAAACTCCTCCATTCAGATCTTTTGTTTGAAGTGCAAGATATTTGACCCCTGCAGAAATAAAAAATAAGGGGAGTATTTGATACATTGTCGTTGTTACCTCTGTGTGTTCCTCATAAGTTAAAAACCTAAAGTATTATGTTGAGGAGAGGCTGCTGAAGGTGTGAATGCTGGCATTGTTATTAACAGACACAGTGGTACCCAAGGCACAGGGCTGGGGACCACCACACTAAGTGATACTGCTGACTAATATGATTAAAGTTATAAAATACAAGCAATTAAAATGAAAACTACCTTTATGTAATTGCTTTAACTAATGGACAACACTTCATATTGCAACCAATATATAGTTATATGACCACTCTTGTGAGTTTTAAGGTAGTATTACAGGTTCATTATGTTCTATATATGAAGATCTCTGCTATTAAAACTCAAAACCCATATTGTATCACCAAGTTCAAATTCATTCAAAGAATACTTCCCTCTGTAACACTGTGAACCACTTACATCAAGTAGAAAAAGGGTTCAGTTTAATCATTACTTTCAGTTGATTATATGACTTAATGAACCAAATAAGAATTTGGTGAAAACACTTTAGTTCTATAACACCTCATTATATGAGAACAAAAATCAAAATTGTTTAATCATAATCTCGTTGGGCTAATATTATTGCTTTTTTTGCCAGCACAATAGATAAGCCTCATTAAAACTCAGCAGGTATCCTTGAACATTAAGCTCCTGAGGCTGTGGCCTTTGCTAGTATAATAGTCACATATACTTTACTTGAGTTTCACATTTCCTTTAGCTACTGTACCTAACTTAAAGGAAAAGGAAAACTTGTAAGGAAAAGAGTAAAATCTTGTAAAGGAAGTTGGCAGTTATGTTTATATACTACTGTACATTCCCTACAAAATTAATCAACTTCTTAATCTCAGCTTGTTAAAAGTTGGTAAAATTAATTATTCTATGCCTTGATCTAGAAATAATGTGCTGAACTGGGTGCATTTCCTTAAATAACAGTAATTACTGTTTAAATTGTAATAATAAATTAATTGTGGTAATAATGATACCTATCCTAATCTATTATATGTACTGTACAGTAAATTTTGTAATACATATATTCTGAACACAAATAAATTTCCATGGACTAAATACTGCAGACTTGAGAAATAAAGATAGTAACTCATTGTATAAAGAGAAAAGATGAATTAAAGAAGCACTAGTAGATCCCACTTGTGTGTACATATCCATAAACATTTATACAAATTATTTACGTTGAGTGCTTCCCACGCTGGGGAGTGTGTAAAGTTTGTAAATTCCCCTTGTGGGATGTGGATTATCAACTTGACATTCCAACAAATAACTTTATGGGTAACTAAACAAAAAATGAGTTACACTACACTGCTGATTTCATTTCTTAGCACTTATGGTCTAATAATGTGTATGTCTTAACTAGACAATCATTTTTTAGGTTTAGAAGTGATATTGTGAACAAAAACATGTGACACAAGGTTGACAGATAATAATAAACTGTTGGATATAAATTATGATAAATGACACAAAGCGTCTGAGCTAAAAATAGCCACTTGAGGAGTGCAAAAAGGACCATCAAAAGTACACATATGAATAACAAATGTGAAATTGAGGATGAAACACCAGCTAAGACAAAAGTCAAATGTTTCCCATACAGTCTTTAAAGGTTTCTAACATTAAAGTGTTAAAATATAATTTCTTTATAAAAGCTCACCATATTCATAATTGTGAGAATGAATCTTTTAGCAGCTTCTGGTCCATAGTAGCTGACCATGGCAGGATCAGCGACAACTAAGGTCTCCACGTTATAATCTTGAGGTACTTTATAGGAGTATCTTTTTCCTCTTCCATTTTCTGTCAATTTTCTGTTCTTATTTTTCTGTTTTTCTGCAAGATGAAAAAATAATTATGAAATTCCCATCTAAACTAGTAAGAGGTATAATATATAATTAAACTATATTTATTCCAAGTTATAACTACTGGGTGCATCAGTAAAATCAAGAATTGATAGGCTGTTTAATTAAATAATTCAAAAACAATAGCCAGCTTCAAGATCCTGTGACTACAGCTAAATCATCTTAGAAAGAACTGGATTCACATGTATAAAAAAATGACAATTTTACTTACAAAATAATTCAAAACAATATATTGTATAATTTGATATACAATACGTTCAAAATAAATATGACATGAAATCAATAAAATAGCAACAGTTCAAAGGAATTGTGCTGGAAGCACATTAAATTTACAAATTAAAGGCTAAATATGAGTGACTGCGATTACTCATGTAATCGCAGAAAGCTATGTGTCTGCTCCTCTCCAGACTGACTTTAAAACAGAAATATATTTTGTCTAAATAAAAAAACACTAAAACAGTGAATGAAGCTTTCCTTGAAAGACAAAAGCTTTTGCAACAGCAATCAGAAACAATTAAGTGAGTGTTGTTCCATTAACACTTTGTAAATTGAATTTAAAGAAAGTTCAGCTATTACTCTAACACTGCTGCTAAGGCCTAAACCAATGCCTTTTGTGATAAGTACAGTATATTGGTGTGGGCTATAATTTAATATTTATTGTATAAAATTACTGTACTACAACTTTAACTGTATCCAAGTGAGGGTGGTACCTACCTTTTTATTTAGTGAAATGATGAATATATTATGTTACACTATATTTGGATATGTTCTGAAATATACAATATTTTTCATTTTCTCACTACACTTAAAATACTTTTTTTTAATTTTTCTTAAACATACAAGTAATGTTTAATAGTTATTAAAAGATAACAAAATTAGTTTACATATTAAATATGTGTAAATATACACACAAGTATGCATATATATGAATACTTTAAATGTTCATACAATTTCAATATATGCCCAATACAACATATACTGTACCATTCAAAAATGGCACAATATTGTTTAATCTGCTCACAGAGAAAGAGAAGGCCATTTTCAGCCGGGAAACTTTTTTTCTAGCAAAGTCTTTATTTTTTTTCCTAATAGTTGTTATTAGCCATCACAAGGAAAAATATATCTTCAATGTCATTGGCTTAAATAACCTTACTCTTAAACAGGAGTTTCACTCAGGATTTACAATAGCAATAATGTGGACTGATTGCAGAATTTAATTGACAATAATAAGCAAAAGTGTATCAAGTCTCCTTTGAAACTGATGTTGCACAAACAGTAGTTAAAGTCTTTATCACATTCCTTTTCTCCTCTAGGACAATTAAGTATAATTTTAGAAAAAGGCATTTCAGCTGCTGTTGATGTCAACAGAACTGGTTGACCTTGCATTGAAGTTTGCATAACATAAATGTTTTGTCATTCTTCCTTACATAATAAAAATTGCTTTACTGGTGCAGCCTTCATTTCAACCTACTCTATCTTGTACTTTCTAGCTAGCGATGACATTTTCTCTAAGAACATTAAACCTTTCCTTAGAGAAAAAGGAGTTTTATCCATTCCCTGCCATAGTGAGACATCACCTCGTAGAATTAAAAGCTGTAGACATCTGGAAGGAGTTTCCAGTATGTGAAACAAAGTTCTTATTGTGAGCTGATTTACAGCTCCTAAGAAGACCCATGATGGGATCAGGGCCTATGAGTGTCAATAACCAGGTTTCTGTGGTGGATCAAATTTTACTTTAAATTGGCATTCTAAGAGAAATCACATGCAAAAAGAAAGATAATAAAAGAAAGTGTGCTGGTGCTTTATACTGCAGTCTCACAACTCCAGGATGCTGAGCTAAATCTCCATGCTGTAGATAAACCCAGTTTAATTAAAAAAAACAAAATAGTATATATAATATTACAAACAATATATAATATACAAAATATAATAGTATATAATACCCAATTTTTATTTTTCTATATAAAGTACAGAGAGATTAAGTTGAGTTAAACCTATGAACAAATGTTTATTAATAATCTGTATAAAAGGTGAAAGACAGAACCGTGCCCCTTCTTGTGTGATGGAGACTGCCTGGTTACTAACAAAATGATTGAAGCCAGACTGTCAATAAAAGTAGCTGTCTTTAGAATAAAATGTTCTGTTTCAACAATCAGCACACTAGTTCAGAGAGACAAGCAAAATTTGAGGGCCAGTCCGCATCCCAGAAGGAAGAGGGTCACCATGCTGGGACTGTCACATCCATCTGCATCGTTGCTCTCAGATTACATTGACTACAGTACAAATAATTCCAGGAAGAATCAACTCAAGCATCCGCAGGGTAACTATCACTCATTTTCTACATAAAACACATATGTGTATGCAAGCACATTTTAGATGGAAGCAATTTAGATGTCACATGTTGGGAGTTTGTTTTTGTAGGTCACAGAATATTCGAGTTAGTGGCTGAGAGGATGGTAAAGTGTTTTATTCTTCACTTAATGCCACTTTGTCCTCAAAGGACCTCACCATGAGGTGGATCCCTGTACGCGGTTTCAGCAGTGTGAAAAGGTATGAGCTTTATCTTAACTGGCAAAATAGTCAAATAAAATATATTGAGGCCTCTGTAAAATATGGCTAATGGTATAAAACATGTCTAGTAGTATTATTCACTGTCCCAGAACATACCATTCATATTGTTTGATCAACAAATATACCATATTCAATCTACTGCTTTAAAGCTAGACGTATTGAATAACATGTACATTTTTCTATTAAAGTTTGCAACTTTTTTATTTTTTTGTTATATGTGTGTTTTTCACATCTCGACTCATAGCCACACCCAAGGCAAAATGAGGAAATGTTGGCTGACCCCACTGACCAGCCCACATTTAGCCTCTCATATTTTAGCATGTTACACATGACAGAGTTCCATATCTCAGGTCCAGCACTGATTGGAATACAGGTGGGTAACTTGCCTACACCACAAGCCTGGAATGGCCGGAAACTAAGACAGTCCTGGCTGACTTGTCTCACCCTGCTCACATGACTCAGGCGATACCTGAATCACAGAACTGAACTTGTGCTCGAGTAAGTGCCTTTACTTGTTGAGCCAATCAGGGGCCCTCATATGTCAGAGAATCATATGTCAGAAAACTTGCAAGAAATTGTAGTGATAAGCTTTCTTTTATGTTACAGAACATCAGAGAGATCAGTACCAAGATACAGCACACTGTATGACAATGTGTAAATCAGGCTTTCTTGTTTAGCAAATTCCAAATCAAACCAATAAACTGTAATCAGTCAGTATAGAAAAAAACACACCAGTTAATTTGTTATTTTGTTGGCAATGTGGTGGCTCTGTGGCTAAGGATCTATGCCTGTGGCTGGAAGGTTGCCGGGTTCATATCCCGCGGCTGGCAAAGGGATCCTACTCTGCTGGGCCCCTGAGCAAGGCCCTTAACCCCAACAGCTCCAGAGGCCTGTATAAATGGCTATCCCTGTGGTCTGATCCCAAGCTTCTCTCCCTGTCTGTGTGTCTCATGGAGAGCAAGCTGGGGTATGTGAAAAGACAAATTCCTAATACAAGAAATTGTATATGGCTAATAAAGTGATCTTATTCTTTTGTAATATGGTTAGATCAAGAAAGGATGTGTACACTAAAATACTGTCTTCACAGTCAAAAACCCCAGTCAAAATGTACCAAAGACAGCAAACTGACAGTATTTCCCAGAACAGTGCAGTGTGGATAATGTCAAGGTAACATAAACACATACAGTACATACACTTCAATGTCAACATTTCTAATGCATAGCATCTTTGCAAGTATTTTCATGTAAAACTTGAATGTTTTTATGTTTTGTCAGTTTTTATCAATGTATACAATAAAAAGAAATAGGAAAAATGTTTCTATACTTGAAAAGAAGTTCAGTGTTTTGATTATTTTCAATGGTCCATATTTAATTTCCTACTATTCATTTAACTAAGCAGGTATGAGATTCTTCTTCAATTACATGATGTAATGTTTAATTGCATGAATGTCTATAGGAATGTGTAATGATATGCCAGATGTAAATGGAAGAATTGAATAATCTTGTGTAAAAAACAAAACTGTCTCATTATGATACTTCACGGAAGGCTCTTGGATAGCATTTTAATCAAGATGTTTTAATTTGACAACCACTTTATCTGCATTTCAAAGACCCTTATACTTTAGCGAGAAGTGCACTCATTCAGTAATCAGGATATTATTCTTTGAAATTTGTTTAATTCTCATCAAATGTCACAAGCTGGGCAACCAAAACACAGATTTTTAGAACATTATCCCAGTGATTGGATGTTTTTTTTTTTTTAGAAAAGTTTAATTAAGGCACTAACAAAAAAAAAATGAATCCGAATCAGGATGATTCATTTGCTAATTTAAAAAATAACATAAAACATAAATTTCATTTATTTCCTAGTTTTACTAAATAAAACAATAACTAATCTTTTCTATAATAATAGTAATAAGAATGTCACCTTTATCCATGCACTGTAAATGTATAGTAATTTACATACCAGGCAGAATGCCACAATAGTCTTGTGTGTTCTGTCTCACTGTTTTCTCCTCCATAGAGCGTTTTCTCCTGTAGACACGGTGAGCATGGCCTGTTATAGCCAGTGTGTCATTCAGAGGTTCAATAAACAAAAAGTCCTCATTCACCTGAATAAACCCCATCTGGAAAATAAAGAATATTCACATAAAGTATTAAATAGCATTCTTAAATCAGCCAATGCTAAACATTTGAGAAAATATTATTATACAGTACTTAATGATAAAAATGCAAGCTGGCACAGTGGCCCACTGGGGCCCTGGGATCAATTCTAGACATGTTCTGCATGGAGTTTGGATGTACAGTATAGTATGCCCTGTGTTTTCATAGTTTTACCATGGGAGTTCCGATTTACATACTATATCAGTAAGTTGATCAACTTTTGCAAAAAAATTGGCCCTAGGGCAAGAATATCATGTCTGTATTTGTGTCTGTCTGCCCAGTGATGGACTGGCGTCCCATCCAGGGTGCAACCTGCCTTCCACCTGTTGCTTGCAGGGACTGGCCCCGACTTCCCCGCGACCCCAAATTGGATGCAGCAGTTACAAAACGGATGGATAAAAATGTATTTTTATCATTATTAAAATCATTATTCAAATCTGCAATCTTTATTTCTTTTGCCTGTATTTCAATATTGAATTCAAGAAGAAATAATTATTTTTAAAATAAACTATAATATAAACATTTTCACAGGTTCAGATTAAGCTTTTTTCTTGTGTTATGTACCTTGCTATTTTTTTCTGCTTTGAACAACAAGGTACAGGCCTTAAAGTCCATAGGCAATGCAGTATATTCAACTCAATTATGTGCTTAAATCACTGTTGGAAGCAAGGGGGAGTTAAATGTCTATGTTCCAAGTGTTCCAAGTGACTAAATTGAACTTCTGTTAAAATATGGTCTGGTTGGTTTGGACGAGTTTAGGACTTAGGTGACTTCAGCATGTATACAGTCCAAAGTGAAAAATCATGTTAAAAAAATGTAATGCTAAATACTGTATGTGGGTTTATGTAATTTCCAGTGTTTCAGCTCCATTCGTACTAAACTTTCTTAATTTAAAGCCCGGAAGCTCAGTGGTTGGTTGTGCTTGTTAATACCCTCTTAAGCAAGGGAAACCGAATGTTTTTTTTTTTCTTGCGGTCTACCACAAAACACTATACAAAGAACATTAAAGGTTTTCTTTATTCCAGCTTCCACACACTGTAATTGTTAGTACTAAAATAAAATGCTTACTTTTCTTTAGCCAATGTCATTAGGATAGGATGAAACATATTTTAATAATTAAAAAAACGTTTTAAAGCCAAAAACAAGTCTGCATGGGACCTTACTGGAGTGTTTTTCATTGACTGTTTGTTAATGAAGTTCACTAGCATTGCGGTCATGCTGGTTTTGTTTATTTGTTGCCAGAAATTGTCAGTTTCTAGGTTACTCAATAAAACAAATCTAAATCCTGGACAGAGCTTCTTCATTGTCTTTTTTCACCTCATTGACTGGAGAGTTTGTTTTCAAATCTTCTTAAATCCAAAGATGACTTCAGGGATAAGATATGTCACAGAAATATATCTTAAACACATGCCTTTGTCTCTTCAATCTTTGTCATACAAGAAATGTCATCTTGTATAAATTTTCTAGTGCATAAAAGGTAAAACTCAGGACATGCTAGTACAACATAAATGATCTCACATCCTGACTATAGGCTTGATATTGATTGGGGTTACTTTAATAACATCACCATCCTAAAGAAGAGAAGCCAACACTGAGTGGGCTTCAGGTAAAAACACACTGCTTGGCAGATTCTGTCTCTTTGAAATGCATAAGGTATTAACATACCTTTGAAAACTTGCAATTATTTAATTTGAATAGTAAAATGATTTATTTCATTTGTAGATTACTGAAATACTTAAAACAGCATTGACTTTTCATTTCTAATCCCCTGTCCACACATGATTAATGGCGTAGCCAGGACTACAGCAAACATTCATATAAATGTCTTGAGAAATCTAGCTTGCAGATGTTTCAACTGGAAAGTCAGGAACAACATAACATGAAAAAATGTTTTATATTTAAATCAACCTCTGTTATCAAAAAGCAGTTTGTTCTTGTTAAGGGTTACGGACAACTGAAGCCTGTCCTGGAAGCATGTCTTTGGAAGGTGGGAGGAAACCAGAGTGCTTGGAGAAAACATGGATAGATGATGTGAACTTCATAAAGAAGGCACTCCAGTCCAAAACTGTATCCATGACACTAAAGCTGAGAGGCAGCAGTGCTGTCCACCACTTCACCACCATATTTTTTAAAATGAAACATTTTTCTTATATTAAAAACTGTCAAACCAAATAATATTGTAGAGATATTTTAAATAGCAATTAGATAAAAATACAACTTTCTAAGGGGAAAATCCTAACACCTATGTGTTACTGTGCTTTGTTCTTCTTTGAAAGATATCATTGTGTTTGTTGAAAACATTTAACATTACTGCAACAACTGTACGTGTATAATGTAGTACAGTATGTTGTGCACTTTGTTTCAGATCTGCAGAATTTCCATCAACTTCCAGGAGCTGTCATGAGCCTTAGGAAACTTAAACAGGCCCAGAAATTTACATTACAGGTCAGTTAATACAAATAACAAGCCCACACAACCTTCTCCTGCCGTGCACAAGTAGAATTACCAAATTTCAATGCCACTTTCAATAACTTAAATGATCTATAATCAAGTATTCATGAGGCAGTAAAGACAAAGCACAGTAAGTAATCCCTAAATACCTAAGAGAATTACCTGATGTCTGAAAGGAATATTACTGAGATTAGTTACTTTAAAACCTGTGGAGAAGGCTTATTTATTCAAAATTCATTTAATACTCAGAACATCAAAAGACTAAACAGTAGATCATTTCTGTAATTAAAAGAAGCTCATTAAGTTTGGAACCTGACTAACACTCAATTTTATTTAACTGCTCAACTTTATTTAGCATATTCCAAAGGATATAGACACCTGTACACATGATATATGCCTTACTAAGAACACTTTGTCATGGTGTGTTGTAAGAGCAACAGTTGAAAAGAATATAAGTTAGTTCTCAATGCTGAAAGTAAACTTGTAAAAGAGCAAGTAATAGGTTTATTCCATGCTGAAAAAAAGAAGAAAGAAAACACAACGTTTCGGCCATGGAGCCTTCTTCAGGTGTGAGAGAGACAGGGCAGTAGGCAAAGGTAAAGTAGCGGGAGAACAAAGGCTGAGAGAGAGGAGGAGCGAGAGGTGGGAGCACAGAACAGAAAGAGAGGCCAATCAAGAGGTGTGAAGGTCAAAGTCAGCTGCTATGAACATGTGAGCATCTTAAAGGTCTTCCTTTCAAAACATATACAGTACAAGTCCATTTCTCAAAGTTGGGTATGCTCATAATAAATTAAAGATGGCTTTAAAAATTAAAAATGTTTCATAAATTATAAATGGAATGGCAAGCTTGGTTTCTTCTCACCCAAACTCAAAGATGCTAAGATGCTGTAATAGTAGAAAACACTTATATAGGCTTTGATACTTATGCCCATCCAGCTATTTTCTAACTGCTTCTTCCAATTCAGGGTCACAGTAGAGTGAGAGCCTATCCTGGCAAGCAATGGGTACAAGGCAGGGTACACCCTGGATGGGACACCAGTCCACTGCAAGGCAGACACACAGATATAACACACATACTATATGCATACGCACTCACAAAGGGTCAATTTTCCCCAGAAATCAATTAACCTACCACTGTGTTTTTGGACTGTGGGTGGAAACCAGAGCACCCAGAAGAAATTACAATATAGAATATACAATGAACATACAATATACAAAATCCACACAGATACAGTATCCCCCCTAGCCTGGAATTGAACCCAGGGCCCCAGTGCTGAGAGGCAGTAATGGTAAACAGTGCTCCACCCTTAGACTTATATACTTATTCAATTTCCTTTAATTATATTTTTATTCTTGTCATTTTTATTCCTTAACCTATGCCTAATAGGACCTTGGATAAAAAGTAAGAAAAAAAGCTTCTTCAGACTGATAGATCTCACAGAAATTCACTGGATATTCAAAAAAGATAATACAACAGAGGTTGTACTTTGCTTGCATTTAACTTATCACTTTATATGAATACTCAAGTATTTTCCAATGAACTAGACAAAGTACATAAAAACAGCATTAAACAACCAACTGGAAAGCGATATCTGCAACAGTTAATTGATTCTGGTGCACTGCAAGTAAGTGTAGTTTTTGACATATTGAAGTTGCATTTCACCAGTATATTTAGGTGCCTATATACATTAAACTCCTACTTGGAAATTAAATGCAGTTGCTTTGGACTGCAGAGGAATCAGGAGTTGTACAACTGTCAACAGATTTGAGTTCTTATTGTACGTATGGTATGTAGATCACAGAAATTGTAAACTCAAAGGAACATGCAAATAGCATTTATACTACTATATTTCTAAAGCTTAAAAAGAGATCAAAAGTCAAAGGCTGTAAAACCATAAAAGTGTAACTTTATAGCCTGTCATAACCTGTCTTAGCACATGGATGTGACCTAGTGGCCACCTAGAGGGAGAAAAAAATCAATGAGTTACACTTTCACTGAAGAAACAATCTACAAAATGTCAGACATCTTCAAGCACTACAAAACACACATTTTAAAGCTGTCTTTAAATAGTAGATGATTTCATTTGCTTATATTTAATCTATATTCTTGATTGTATAAAAAAGAATCGCTATGCTTTATTTATATACTATAATGTGCAGTGTTTCCAAGTGCTTTGAGATATTATAAAATGAATATCATTTCTATTCAAGCGTTCTAAGGTACTGTAACATGTACTTACACAATACATTAAATTAACACTTCTGATTAGTATCTGTCATAAGACTGAATGTGTCAGTTTCTCCTTTTTTGTTTTGGACATATTCACTCATTCATCATCTGCAGTCACTTTCATCCTACATGATAAGCCAGTACAGGGCACAAGGTGATACCACCTGATTTTAAAGACAGCTCTTCAAAACAAAATAATATTTTGTGTGAATAAAAAATCAAAACTAATTGATCAATTACTTAAGACTGAAAGAACATATCATTAGACCAATTAAAACAGAAACCAAAGAACTGCAGTGACCTAAACCCTGATTTTATTCAAACTGACCTAATCTGTTTTTTTTTTCATAGCCCAAACTAAGAAAATAATTATAAAATCTATTCTGACACTTCCCAAACTTCAAAATATTTAAACAATTGTAGTTTCAACATAAATTAGGACATCGTTGTAGTTTTATCAACTGAGGAACAAAGCAGAATGTGAAAAAGAACCCATCCACATTTAAAATGTATTCTTTTTGCTGTTCAGTACAGAGGGGTGCTGCTTTAAGTTAATGCAAGTCAGTGATTCAAGTCAAAAGTCTTGGGAAGATGTCCAAACCTTGAAAACCACAGGAGCTCACTATAAACCTCAGGAGGTCACTAATGATTGTACACTGAGGCTTTTAAATGATTTTACATTGTCTATGTGCCCATGATCCAAAACTCTTCACAGCATTTCATGCCCCTGCAGCATTCATTTGATAATATTGCAATTTGCTCTAAAATGCAGCTATTCACACCTGTAACATTTAAGGTACTTTGCCTTAATTAAGATCAACAAACATGCCAAGCAATCCAGATCCCCTGCTGTTTGAAGCTGAAAAATATGAGCAAAGAATTAGGTAACTTATGTAAACTCCTCAACCTGTGTCTAAGACTGCTGTGTAGAAACTGGGCAGCTGGCTTTGTGAGGTCTGCAAGGTATTATAAAGTGTTCCATTCATATAAATGCAGTGACTGTGGGTATAATTGCTTTGCCTAGTCTTACACAGACATTGAGCTAAAGTTTTGCAGGCAGCTGCACACCAAGTTTCTGGAAAAAGAGTAGTTATTAAATTGATTATCCTTTAGGCTACTGCTGTTACTGGTTAGGCTGCTATAGGTATATGTGCATCAGAGTTACAGTTTAAAACAACAAAAATCATGCTTGTATTTTTTATTAGTTCATTTTAATCCACAGAAGAAACTGTGGTAAACACTCAAACAATGAAGCACTTTTTCCACAGTCATGCTGTGTACAAATCCTTTAAAACACATCAAAAAGAAGATACTAATTAAAAATATGTAAGTTTTTCATTTGTTCCTGTATGGCTAACCTTGCTTAATCAATATCACCTGCATTGGGGTCAAAACACACTAGGTTTTGGGAAGCTGTCCTCCACGTAATCAATTTAGAACAACATCCCTTCTATTAAACGATTTGAAGGTTTGCCATTGTAGTAAATCAACAGGACTCGGTGTTGGCTGGTAAATGCTTAAGTAATAATACATGGGTTCAAGTACTGTAATACTTGTTTCTATTGCACTAAACCAGCTCTCTTGGCCACAGTCTGATTGTATAATAAAAGCACAGGATCCTCACAGGAAACCCCAGTACTGGTATCTGGTGGATATCACTTTCTTTGAGCCTGTGGAGACCTGCCTCAGTTTTTTCCTTTGTACCAATTACCACTGATGTGAAAAGAACAGTCATCAAGTTTCAGCTAGTGAGTGAGCTTTACCTAGCAGAAAACACTGGGCTATTTTTGTTATCCCTCCAGCAGTATCCTTCTTAAAAGAACCTAAGTAGAAAGAGAATAAAAGTCTAGGATTCCTGTAGTGAAAGAGGCTGAACAAGCTACTGTAGCCTTATTCAGATATGTAATTTAAGTTCACTGATGTGAATGTAAAACTAATAATTATTTCCAAAAGAAACCACACAAATAATACAAATTAAGTAAGGGGAATAACTCAATTATTCGTGACTATTTATTTGACATTGTGCTAAATCTCAACATTTTCGGGTATTTATGTGTGTTAAGTATGGATTTGAAAGCCATTTCTAAGTTCATTGAAAATAAAACACACACCTTGTGTCTTTCCACATCTAATGGTATTGGGTAAAATGATCTGTTAAATTAACAGCATAACTGATACTTTCCTGAATTAAGTACACGTCTCTCTTGTACCGTAACGTACAGTACGGTCCTTCATGCATACATAATGTGAAAGATCACTAGCTACGAGAATAAGAAATAATATAATATTGTGGTGTGGGGATAAAACCAACACAATTTTCGAAAACTACAACCTGTCAAAATTCTTCATGAACGAAAGGGTTATATTTACCAGCCCGACGCAGGTGCTGAAGGAGGCAATGGATTCTGCGTAATTGAGAACAGTCCCGCTGTAATAACATGATCTTTCTGTGCTAGAGGAGGAAGGAACTGGTGAATTGTGCAGAGACGCCTTTCGTGCTTTAAGTCGTTTTTCTACCATGAATTTCTGGGATAGAAATCGGCTGTCTCTTTTTAGAATGAGATACAAATCCTTGCCAAAAGCTGGGATTTTGAGCCTCAGAGCCGAGGAAGCGAGCGTTTGCGGTCCTGGAGGTTCCCAGTGGTATAACTCTTGAGATTCGTATTCTTCCCAGTTGGAAATGGAGCGGACCTCCCGAGAGCTGCTGCCAGCACTGGCGTCTCTCTCCTGACCGTCTGATCTCTCAGGAATCGGCGGACTCGTGTCTGGTAAAACCTCCGGGAAAACTATATCGGACTCTGAATCCTGGAAGAACTGTAAACCTGAACAAATAAGAAAGTGTGAAAATAACAACTGTGTCGGGATCGGGTAGAAAGCATTTAATTATTTTAGTAGTAAAAAAAATATTTTAATATCGGATGTTGTAAGGATGTATTGAAGAGTCGTTCAAAGACTCTTCTAGTAGCTACACCAGGTGGCACGTCACCTGCTTATTGGTCCTTTTCCCCAGATTCCTTAGTGGATGAAATATAATGTTCTTCATGACTTCCTAACTCACTATCACAATTTGGTGTATGTAAATTTTATAAAAAGTTTTGCACTTCCATTAAATATATTCAGAAAAAATGTATAAATGCATAAATAAATGTAGGTATTTACCTGTTGCCGTCAAAAAACACAATTGATACAAAATGCTGCAAAGGCTGCTTAGATGCATAGTCCCTACAGCTGTACAGGGCAGCTTTCTTAAATCAACTTGATGTTATGAGTAACAATGCCGAAATCCTTCAAAGAAGTTCGCTTTCCCACAAACGTACACAAAATTATGTGTTATTTGTGTGCTGTCTGTTGGTTTTTACATCCATATCCCGGTAACTGCAGTTCTTTTTTCCTCTGACATGAGATTTAAGTTTCCGAATGAATGAGCTTGAGTCCCGCGGAGTAAAACTCAGAAGTCAGCACAGAATTAGAGCCGAGAATAGTAGAGGAGAGAAAGGGACAGAGTGAGTGAGAGAGAGATCGGTACAGATCACATACAGTGCAGTATGTAGGATGTATATAGAACACAGTGAGCAGTAGAGAGCACTAGAGCACCCAGACATGCCCTATACAGTATACCGTTATGCCTGGCCTCAAGTAGAGAATCGTTAGATGCTTATAGAATTAGTACAGATAGGTGGGAAGGTGGGTGGAGGCTAATTTCCAGTCAGCCCATTTCCATAATATATGAGTTGACACAAAATGTAAGTACTATGTAAAGCACTGTAGCAAATCTGCCGTTAAACACTTTATGTATTAAAATTTTAAAATCACCTTAATAAATTTATAGAAAGGTAAATTTTGACAAAAAGTGTGAAAACGTCGTTTTTATTACTTTTACAAAGAAAGCGTGAGAGGATTCGTTCCAATTTACGGATAAAAGCTATCGAGAGTCCTTTGAGAACAAGGAGTTAGTTTGCCCCTTAGTTTGCATTGTGGGAATTAAGAAAATGCACAGCAATAATATTTCCAAGCCCATGTATCTTAACATAAGACATATTGCACATATTTCAGAAATACAAGTACAGCCCTGTTAGCCACTGTGATAGCACTTTCTTACTTTTAAACTGGGCAACTATTTTTCGTAAGTGCTGTATTTTGGTATCTGTCATTTCCTGTTCTGTTTTTAAAATAAAAATGTGTTAACATCCACATAGTTAATCTTATCCCTCATGTCAGAATTGTATCTTCATTTTTAATTAACGTAAACATACTGTAGTAATGTGTGGGGATATCTCTTCAATTGATCACATTTAGAATAATGAAAAAAGCTTTGGAATTTAAAACGAATGTTCGTGAAAAAGACAAATATCTCCCACTTCCACTCGCTTAAACAGACCTATCAGGTTTCAAACACACCTTCCCCGGTGTTTATAGCTTTGCATCCCTCCTCCACCCCATTAGTGCCCTTGCAACAGCTCCGTGACTTAACTTCCAGAAAGGCACCGGTGGCCTCAACCTTACAGTTTACATCTGCTTCTATTGTAGATCACGTTACGTTTATTCGGGATCCGTGAATACACAGAATATTGCTTATGCAATAATGGTTGCAGTCAGAGTTACTGGATAATAAATAGGAGAATAAGAACCCTTAGAACCGTTGCTTCAAATATACTAGGGTAATATCTGCTATAATGCAAAAGGACGATAGAAAAACAAGGCATTTACATGAACTGTGCTCTGATACAGCAGATAATCATTAAATTGTCACTGATATAATTCAGTAACTACAGCAGTCCTGCAGTCTTTGCATTTTCACTGATTTCTTGCAGTATTCTTTCTGTTTTTTTTTGTCTAGTGCTACTGAACATAGAGCCTTAAAAACACTGGCAGATAGTTTCCTGTCTTTTAAAACCTGCACATGAGACATCAAAGTACCTCCCGTGTACTAAGACCCCCTCTGAAGGTCTGATGAATTTGATACGCTTACAATACTCCAGCGGCATTCCTACCATTTTTACAGAAGACGTCCAGTAGGCCAGAGCCAGCATGATGACTGTTGGCACAAAGACTTAATGGCCTTTTTGTGCTGTCTTGTGATACAAGTTGTCCCTTAAGATGTGGGTTTTAAGATAACACGTTTATTGAGAACACAACTATGTAAGATACACAGTATGGGCAACAATTATCATCCTCTTCATCAATAAAATTATGTAATACATTCCATAACAAATGCTATATGCTTTGTTTACACCAATGAATATGACACAAACACATACTCCTGTGACCTTTAAGACATCTTTAAATACAATCAGGGAATACAATTATGTGTATGATATGAGCACCAACATTTACTTAGTGTTTCCACGTTCTCTACTGTAATGACACTCTCACAAACATCAGCCGTTGGTTTAATTTAATGTAGTTTTGTGAGAAGAAACCAAGCTTATTATTAAATAACCTTTAATTCACATTGATATGAGTCTTCCCAGCAACTCAAGGTAAGTGAGTAGTCAATTTAGAGTTCTTGAAAAACAAATCAATCACACTAATCAAATTTAATTGACTCATCATCAGGTATTATTTTGTCATCATTGTCATCAGTTTAACTGATTAAACATCAGTTAATCTTCTTTACACATATATAAATCTAAGACTGTTTTTGTGCTACACACCTATCTGGGTTAACTGTGAGCTTAACAAACAATGGAAACAATTTCAGTAGAAGATCTCCAAATAACTGCATCTCTGTGTAAAGATGGGAAAATATTGGATACAAAGAGAGCCAAACAAAGCAAAGCACAATATCTCAGCTTTTTGCACAACAGTGAATTAGAGGTTGTTATACAGTATGCTTTTTAAGAACTGCAGAAGAATGAGTACACAGGGGACAAACATGATGCTAGGTAGTGATATTATCACACCCAAGCTGATGTATTCACTATTTTGGACATTATATTTAGAAGTTTTGATTAATAAATCCCTTTGGCTTTTTGTTTGTTGTCAAAAGGGGCCTAAAGCTAATGTGCTTTAAACATTATAATGGAGATGGAAGTGTCAGTGGGGGCACAGGCATTCTGACAATCCAGTCTAGCTCTTAACCACTAAAGTACTGTTTGTTAGTACGGAACATGGAGGACACAACTTTGCAAATGAATTGTCAAATCTATCAGCACCCTTGAGTGCTTTGCAAGCATATATCTGCCATCCCTTCATGCTTTAAACCACTGGAACATGAGTGGGCTGTCTTCCTGGATCTCTCTGATTTATGTATTAGAAATAAGCTCCAGACATGCATTTATGAATTATTTTAGATCTATTGAATTACCAGAAATGTTTCAAAATTCGATGTGGACTGATTAAAAGCAACACACATTACCCATTTTATATTGAAAAATGAACTGCTATTAATAATGCAATAAAAAATTTTCCAGTTAGCTTAGTATGGTAAACTGATTTGTACCACGCATGAGTGAAATTATTCTTGTGTCATTTAGAATATGCTATAAAATAATTATGAATACTTTATGTATTATTTACTTGCATAGTGTTGTAAAGATTTCAGGAAGAATCGTGTTTAGTAATACACTAAGACTGTCCAGGGGCAAATTGTATGAACTAAGCTGTAAACCAGAAGTACAGTACCCAGCTGTGGTCCTCAAAGCAACTCCTGTCCCGCAGGTTTTGTAGGTTTCTTTAAACCATTGGTTTCTTAAGAATATGGAAAGGCTTCAACTTGTCAAATTAGGCAAACAATGAGTTCAATCAGCTAATTAAGGATTCAGGTATAAAGAAAACCAGAAACTCTCTGGCCCTCCAGGTATGGACGTGTAAACCCCTGCTGTAAGAACAAAAAGCAAAAGGGGTTTTATACAAAAAGGTAGTATTTCAAAACGTTAACAATTAAACATATCCAGAGCATTGAAAGGAAGGACTGCTTTGCATCTTAGTTTTATCACTATCTAAATCCTCCACTATTTTTTAGATAAAAAATATTTACTTCACAACAAGTCTGTTTCCGATTAACATTAAATACACTGAAGGAGTGATTTTTGCCTGAGTTATTTTTTTTCTTTTTGTGATGTCATACTGGGAGTCCCTGGTGTTGCTGTTAAATAACCATGTTATGTGATGTGCGAGGTGACTTTTGTCTCTGAGAGATAACATGTCTCTAGGCCTGACATACTTGGCTGAGGACAAAAGGGGAGCAGTACATTCCCATGAGTTAGCAAGGAAAAATCAGGTCAGGCTGAGCCTCCAGACTTTATTTTAACAAGCCCTTAGGAACAGCTGTCCAATGAGGAGAAGCACAGAAAACTCAAGATGAATATAATTACATGTTCAGTAACTCCATTTACTAAACAGCAAGTAGGTTAATTAACCTCGACTTGCTCCTCTGCAGCTTGTACACTGATGCAGCTCCCTACTGTAACCCTTCACTGACTATGCACACCCAGTGAAGAGAGATGTAGACTGGATGGTGAAATCATCTCTTCTCTTATGAAGAAGAGTCCTCAGAGGTTTAATAATGTTGTAATAATGTTTCTTTATTAGCCCTATACAATTTCTTGCTAAGGAATTTGTCTTTTCGCATACCCCAGCTTTTCTCCATGGAGACACAGACACACAGACAGGGAGAGAAGCTTGGGGTCAGAGTGCAGGGTCTGCCATTGTACAGTAGTTGGGGTTAAGGGCCTTGCTCAGGGGCCCAACGGAGTAGGATTCCTCTGCCAGCTGCAGGATTTGAACCGGCAACCTTCCAGTCACCTTAGCCATAGAGCCACTGCTCCGCCCCATTTATAGAGAGAAATGGCAGTTTTTACGTTTAAAATCTGGGAGATAAAATTGTTTAATCAGGTAGTCCAATTAATTTAAAAATTTTTAACAGTATGCATTTGTATGAACACTTAAGTCATTTAATAATTTAATGAGTAATCAGGAGAAAATTTCCATCTGTGATGCCTTTGGCAAGAAACACATTATAGCAGTTAGCAACATGAGCTCATATGTAATGAAAACTGATGGCTTTAAATGCGGTACCATTAACGTGATCTCAGTGCATTTTGAAATGGATGCAATTATTTGAAATTCCCAGTTTTAGCCTGTGCTTCTAAAGTCATACTTAACAGTCAGAACAGAATTTTGACATAGTATTTCACCTGGCTAGATGGGGCTATCTAATGTGTGTGGTTGTTCGTCTCTGTGTTGTTTGTGAGAGTGATGCTATGGACGTACTGTAGGAGCCTTTGAAGTATTTAAATCCTGTTTCTTGGCAAAGATTCTGAGGTCTGTGAAGTTTACTCTAAATGGAGGATGAACAATATCTCAGCTTTTTCACTTCATGTCTTGGAATCTTATGGATTAGCAGAGTAGTCATATCTGTGTGTTGAGAATACATTCATATAGTTTAATTTAAAATATAATTTAAAAATTGCATTTATTATTTTTAATAAAGTATATAAATGGTAGCAAGATTTATATTTTTTTATTAACTTGAAGAATCCAACTGTAATTAGCCAATTTCTGTCTGTAAGTTATTCATTTTAACATTAACTTTTATTTTTACACTACTTATTTAGCTTTGTTATGGTGAATAAAGCATTGTACTTTTAACTTTGTTTTCCACTATCCGAT